TCCCCCCCCCCCCCCCCCCCCCCCAGACGCTCTGCATGCATCCTGACTGAAGCTCTGCTGGAAGAGGAAAAGCTGAAATGGATTGTCTGGAAAATCCCATTTAGCTGAAGGGACAAGCTGTGACGACTCATTCAACTCTCTTTTTATTTATTTAATCTCAAAACCTTTATTTTATTCTGACCAACGACTTCCTTCTAATGTCTCAGCCGAACAGACATTATTCATCTCAGATATTATGGGTTTTTATCAGTGGCGGCTGGTCAATAGAGGGCGCCGCTCCACCTTGAGCCACAACAAATAAAATAAATAATAATAATAATAAATTATACAAATTGTCAATATTTGTGTTTTTGAAATATGGAATCACCCAGTAATATGTGTTACATATGATATCTGCGGTAAATATATGCTTTTCCTGCATGTCCTCTCCGCGCGTGCACGTCTCAGCAGCTCTGGGGCGATGGAGAAACTGCCCAAAAGAGGCGGGTCTATGAAGCAGTTTAGCCAATTGCTGGTTAAAGATATAAATGTGTGACATACAATTTAGCCAATCAGCGCCCTCAAATAGATTCTGCTGCGCGTTCCCGTCCAGACGAGTCTCACAAACCCTGAATATATGCTATATATAGAACTATAAACCCAAAAGTCAAACTAGACTGACATATAAAGGGTTTAGTCTCTCAGCTCTCTCTGACTTTAATTGTATTCATAATAAAGTTATTGAGGGAAACATCAGATCATGAAAACACAAATCTTTCTAATAAATGTAGAAAGTTGTTTGTGGTCCTTTTGTTGTTCAGACTACAATGAACATTTATTTAAACCAGATGTTGAATCAGAAACCTAATCAAATATAAACTAGAGTTTATTCTGTGATCTGTCTTCACTCTGGTGTTAAACTCAGTCAGTCAGTCCGATCGGCTGCAGCGTCCAATCACATGACAGATGAACAATGAGGGGGCGTGTCGGCCGTTAAAACACTTCCTGGAAGTCTGTTCTCGTGGTTCCTCGCTCATGGCTCCTCGGAGATCCCTCCTCTGTCCTCGCTCCTCAGAGCTACATTAGAGCTTTGGGACGGCCATCAATATGGCGGCGCAGAAACAACTTCCGGTTCAAGTGAGGATCGAGGAGCGAGGAAACGACAATTAAGAGACTTGAGAAGTACCCTTAAAGTCTTTATTGTCATTTCCTCGATTCCGGTTGAACCAGTTTCAGCCGGAAGTGATCCTCGCTTGAACCGGAAGTTGAAACCGGAAGCGAACCAAGACTATTTTTGTGTCAAAAATCTTAATATAGAATCCCCAAATGAGTGATAAAGACAGAAATAACAAAGAATAAACATCTTAATATATAATGGCATCTACCCATGCAGACCCCCTGGAAAAATAGCATAAAAATAGTTTAAAAAAGTAGATATGTGTGGAATTTATATCCAAATATATATACACAAAAATGGTCAATCGTTAAAGACTACAACTCCCATACTAAAAATGGAAGTATGTGTCTCCTGCGTATACGCAAACACGTTGGACGCGTGAACCCATGCGAACATGCACCGTAATGTAAAAAAATGGTTACTTGTTAAAGACTACAGCTCCCATGCTAAAAAGGGAACTATGTGTCTACTGCGCAAGCGCAAACACGGTGGACGCCGCAAACCCATGCAGATATACACACGGCTCTGTAAAATGGCGGCGTGAGAGAGGCTCGTTCAAAACACAGAGACGTTTTTACCGGAGAGGCAGGTTATCTAAACACCGGAGAGGAAAGGACCGTCCGGGAGTCACTCACAGGTCCAGATAGAGGTACGTTTAAATTAAATAACGTTATTTACAACCGGTCTGTGTGACAGAGCTAACGTTAGCATGACGTTTAGCCGTTAGCTCTCACTGCCGTTAGCTCACCGGCTAGCAGCCCGAGGATGGATGTTAGAGACCCGGATGAACACGTTAGTGAGTTAACACTTTAACGTTAATTACAATAATCTGACTTAAACCTTAATTATCGATATAAATGAGAAACTGGGAGCCTTTAAAGAAGCGCTAAGTGAAGCTAGCTGACGTTAACTGTTGCCCAACTGCAACTCTTCAGCTGTATTTATGAAAATTATTCTATATTCGACCTCTTCAATCTAACATCAGAGGTGTTTTTATATCGGCAGTAATGGGAAGTAACAAAGTCCATTTTCACAGGTATAATATCTCAATATGTGTAGTTTTTACTGCACTACATTTATCTGATTACTTCACAGATTATGAATGCTAAATATAATCAACTAATACATTATGATGTATAATTATAGACTAAACTATCAGCAGTATATAAAGGCTTTAAAATGAGCTCCACCTTTTAAAGTGATATACACATTAATAATTAAAATATGTTATTCTGCATTATGAGTACTTAAGTGTATTTTGTTTGCAGGAGTATTACTTGTAACAGAGTATATTTGACCGTCTGCATTATTTAGTTGATTAAGTTTCCGTAGAGAAGAAGACGACCTGCTGACCTTTTCTTCTTCTCTGTCTCAGAGACGGAGGGATGGCGAAGAGGATCGCTGATAAAGAGCTAACGGACAGGAACTGGGATCAGGAGGAGGAGGGAGAGGAGGTGAGTAAATGTAATGTATAATCAATAAATACACAAACTTTACACTAAATCACACGAAAGCAGAAACATTTGTAAGTGATGGAGGTCAGATGTTCAGTGTGTAAATCTGATCTCCTTCATGAAGGCCGGGACGTTTTTAGTTGCAAGTGAAGATGTGTTGAAGAGTCGGCCGATAAAGAAGGCCAAACGCAGAAACATCGGAGAGGTAAACCCAGAAATATACGCCTGTTATTAACCCGTAGAGTCATGAACGTAGACGTCTAAACGTCGCCTCTGGTTTCAGGCCGATGGAAGCGGATCCTTCAAAGGGTTTAAAGGGTTTTCTTTGTCGTCGGCGGCGAGCGGCGGAGGCCTCACCTCTACGGCGTTCTCCGGAGGCTCCGCCCCCACGGCGTTCTCCGGTTTCGGTAACGGAGGAGGAGGGTTCTCGGGCCTCAGCGCACTGGCCAACGGGAACAGCAGCAGCTCTCTTCCAGCGTTCTCCGGTTTCTCTTCTCCGGCTGTGACGTCCAGCTCATCACCAGGTGAGGAGACAACTGGTGGACCTTTATTATTATTATGATTATGAGCTCACTGATGATATAAAAAAGGACAGGAAGAACAAACAACAGGTCTGGAGATTATACAGCTGAAGAGAGACGAGGTTATGATGTCCGTCTGTTTAATCTCTCTCTCTCTCTCTCTCTCTCTCTCTCTCTCTCTCTCTCTCTCT